GTAGATCCGTCTTCTGGTTTTCCGCTGTATGGAGGTCTATTATAACTTCCAGGTCCACTAGGCCAAATTCCAGGTCCGCCTCCGAGAGGTTTGCTAGGTGTAGATCCGTCTTCTGGTTTTCCACTGTATAGAGGTCTATTATAAGTTTCAGGTCCGCCTCCAAGAGGTTTACTAGGCGTAGATCCGTCTTCTGGTTTGCCGTATGATGGTCTATTATAACTTCCAGGTTGTCCTTCAGGCCAAGTTGCACTTCCGCTTCCAGATGGCTTACCAGACCAAGTACCACTTCCTGTATCAGGATATGTTCCGTGAGGAGTAGTTCCATAACTAGGTTTAGTATGTCCTTTGACACCAGGATAACCTGAACCTGAACCATGTGTTGGCGTTGTACCATGCAATGATGTTCCGAGAGTACTGTGTGGACCAAATGATGTTCCAAACGCGCTTGCTCCAGCACTTGCAGTTGCGCTACTACTTGCAACACTAAAACCAGGTTTCTGTCCTGTTCCGCTAAAAGAACCGCTTGATGATACAGGACTCGATGTGCTCACATGATTGAATGGAGTTTTAGTTGTTCCAAATCCTGTATTTGATGCAGGAAATCCAGCATAAGAACCTGTAGTTCCTGGATGTTGCCAAGTATTAGTTCCACTTCCATAATTTGGTTTTGTAACACCCGGATAACTGCCGCTTCCAGTTGGAAATGTAGTTGGAGTTGGTAATTTTCCAGAACTAAATACATTACTTTGAACTCCAGGCGCAACTCCGGGAGTATAAGAGCCACTGTTAACATTAGATGGTAATTGATTTGGTCCTTGAGGCTTATTAACGTACGATGGTTGAGCATATTCTGGTTTATTGAAACCAAATGGCTGTTCCTTTTTACCAAAATCAGGTGTTTCTCCATGGGGAATATTTCCTGTGTTGGATGTCGCTTGTTTCAGTATAAATATGCCCACACATATTATATATAAATTTTTTTATAAAAAAGTACATATACATATTATATAAAATTTCTTAATTTAATTGGTACTGAAAAATGAAACAAATTTTATCACAAAGCAAAATGTGATTTTTAACACTCTTGGCTAAGAGATATGATACTAACCTTGATTGCAACTTAAACCAGATCCAGTACAACCTGGTGTACCAACAGGCGTAGTTCCGTAACCTGAATTCCAATTTGATCCAGGTTTACTACTGGACCCAGTATTTAAACTGTATCCTGGTGTATCAACAGGTTTCGCCGTTGTTCCGAAATTTCCACTATCATGTCCAGTATTCCAACTTGACTCAGGTTTCGGCGTGACACCGTAACTTCCAACAGGTGTGCTGTCACGACCCGTGTTCCAGCCAAGTTTTCCAGGTGGAGTAGAAGGAAATCCTGTGAATGATACACCAAATCCTGTATTCCATTTTTGTCCAAGTTTTTAACAAAAGTATTACCGTGTCCAGTATTTTGAGGTGCTCCGGGCGTAGATGGAAATCTACCAGGTGGTGCGTTCGATCCGGTTGGCGCAGTATTCCAGCTTGTTCCAGGTTTTGGTGTTGTTCCGTAACTTCCAGCCGGTACACCGTCATGCTTATCGCTCCAAGCAGGTTTCGGAGAAGTGCCAAAACCACTTGGCGTTGTTCCTCCTTGCCAGTTCGGCCAAGAACTTGATGTTGCGAACGCATTTGTAGTCACTCCGCCATATCCTGGCTTGGATGCAACAGATGGAGTATTCCAGCCAAACCCAGGTTTTGATGTGCTGCCAAAATTATCGGTTGGTTTTGAATATCCGGTATTTGGAATATTCGGTGAAAAAGAACTAGGATTAACTCCTCCTCCGGCTTGGATGCCATCATCAGTATATACGCCCGTAGGTCCTGTCTTCTGCACTCCGGGTGGCTGCAATCTTCTCTTGGGACCTTTGTTAGCTCCATCTGAGCCGTAATGATCGTGTTTGCCGGGCCTGTACTGACCGTCATCGCCGTCATCGCATTCATCTTCATCGACTTCGTCTTCTTCCTCCTCCGGCTCGTCTCGTTCCCAGTAATCGTCATTCTCCCATTTGCATTTAGAGCAACCATCACCGTTCTTATTATAGTCATGACCTCTGTCTTTTATTCCGTGATGATGACCAGCACCATCGTGTGCCGAAGGTGTGTTGTATGATTTTGTATCGCGATTAGCGTCGTTGCCTTGAGGAAAGCCATAGCTACGAATTCCTTTATGTCCGTCATGAGTCCCAGAAAGACTACCGGTTTCTCCAAATGTCCCAGCAAACGCATCCGCGTTGCTTAGCGCGGATGCTCCTGCATATGCACTGGCTGATGCGCTGCCTAAAAAATATTTTTTTGTCACGTCAACGGTAAATTCCAAAACACTGTGAAATGAGTGTTATTATGATTTACTTAAAAAATTACAAAAACAGTAATTATAAGTGTAATATTAACGCAGTCTTATATAAATCTTGAACAATTTGTTTTTAGCAGAAAATATTTTACGTATAAACACAAATTAAAAAATTATCCTTTTTTATCTTTTTGTTCAGATCGACCTTATTTATATTTATACACGATATGTAAGTATCTGGTAATGCATGACAATAGTAATAAGAAAGGCCTTCACCGCTATTTATGAAGATGATTTCATGTATGTATAAAGAAGGAACTAAATGTACATACTGTAGGCGCCACTGATTCCTCTATTGTCTGTTGCATGTACGCCTGAAATATAAAAAACATGTTCAGATCACCCCAAATTCTATCCGCATGAACGAATTATAAAATTAAATTACACAATTTTGTGATCAAATACAAAATACGTACATTTACGTACGAACTTTTGATTTACTGATTACCGAGCTTTTAAAATTGACACATAATTTTCAATTTATGGAACAACGCACATGCGACTAATTTTTCGACTAATTTACATTTTGTTGATTGTTAAACAATATTCAAATTAAACATATCAAATAGATATAGCAAATAAAAAAACCAAACTCTCATCTAAATAAAAGCCTTTAATTTTATTACTTTTTTTTTCATGTCAACTTGATTTTTCACAAAACACAACATTTGCTAAAAAAAAAAGTCAAATTTTTCACGGAGCGGAAGGAAAAACTACCTGAGTTAAGAAAACACGCGCATACAAAGATTATCACCGGCAGAAAATACTTGAGATCGCCAGTCTGCGTATCGGTCATCTTGACTTTTGCGACTTGTTTTACCGGTTGCCTCGTGTACACTGCGACGCCGGTTGCCGCATAGTCATTGTCAGGAGTATCCTGATCGAAAGCTTTATATACACACGCATAAGGATACTTCAAGCAGTGAAAGGAACAAAGTGAATCCAAACCTTCGCTGCGAGCGATCACCGCGCGAAGGCAGCAAAATTCTCGGGATCGAACAAACATCGTACATGCATGTGTCGGACAATGAGTAATAATTGTTTCGCTATTACTACCACACCAAGCGAACAAACGCCTCGATTGATGCGTGCGCTATGTAATAAAAACCTGCATAACTTATAGTTTGAGAAGACGCGGTCCACCAGTCTGGCGTCATCGTTTCTTTAAAAGTTTCCTCGCGAGAGACTCCGATGCTCATCACGTTCGTACACATATCCTGAATGGCATGTTGTGGCGAACGAGTGGGTTGCAAATCCGCTCGCGTGGCTAAAATTCAAGAGAGAACTTTCAAATCCCCAGTTTATGTCTCTTTTGGATATTATCATGTACATCTATTATTTTTGTTAAATATAATTAATGTAAATAATATATACATTGACTTATATACCGTATGTTGCGCTATAGCTCACAAAATTGATATTCCAAGATTTTCGCATTTTTATTAACAAAAATATAAACAACTTTAATCGATCGAATTGAAACATTTGTTTCGATCAGACGATGACTGGTTTTTTGACGAATCATTAATATCAAAATAAAAATTCTTCTCGTATTATGCGCATACCGAACTTTGACGAAATGTCATAGAATTATATGTGGTCACCATTATACACGCGTGTGTAAAAAGAAAAAGAAGAAATCGCGGTTTAATTAATATAATACATTCGTGAGATGTATATTTTTGTATCTAAAATATGTGCGCGCTCATAGGCACGTTGGAATGTCGTGTCTTCTTTAAAGACGCCAATATCCTGGATGTTAAATACGATCGGATAATTGGGAAAATACAAAGTATAAAAATACTCGGCGCGCGCGCTACAAATCTCCCATATACATACCGCTGACTGATGCGAAGATGAGATTGTTATCATAACGAAGATTTCAATTTCCTTATTTACCGCAGAGATCCCGCATCCGTGTACCGGCAGATTAATATCACATGATCACAGTAGAACTCATTATACCGGAAATAGAAAAACTCTTGTACGAGATGCATGCAGAGGTGTTTTTCTCCATCGATGCGCGTAACAATAATTTGTTTGTTGAACTGAAAAAATGTTTTATGAAAATTCTCGCGTCAAAAACTTGCAAAATTCCAATCTGCATCTGTAATATATTATTGTATAGTTATTTATTTCTTATATTACACAAGAAGTGTGTATTTTTTGTAAATTTAACATCTATTACACAAATAAATTTGTTTCATTTATTTAAAAAAAAAACTTACCGTCGCGTGCAAAGATAAACATTGCTGATGATTTTTTTCAGACTTGTTTTTTTAAAAATTTCTTATCTCTCATTGTGAGTAAAAATGTCTGACTTGTCTCTTTTAAAATTCTGACTAATCCCATGGCTCTCAGGTCGAGTTTAATCTCTATTAAGTTCGCATCAGGAGAGACTAGAAATCGAAATATAATTATTCAATTGGAATTTAATCAAGTTGATAAAAGCTAAAACCTTGAGTTTTGGTAAATTTTGTTCTGATTGGTTCTTTGACCGGTTCTCTCTTTCCCGATTGGTTGGATGGTAGTGACTTAAGTTGGGTGGCAATACTTGCGCTTTTGTTCTATTCGGTTCTTACATCCGTCTCGGTCTACTTTTTGAGTGAGAAGCCAAAAAATTAGTTGACTCTCAGACAGACTAAAATTCGAATAGCAAAGTTAATTTGTCCCATCTTTTTCTATATTCAACTGGCCACATCTGCGGTAAGTAAATCGCACGCTTGTCTTTAAGTATCCTGTAGTTCTGTGTTTTCACACGTAGCTTCCTCACGAACTGGGATGCGTGTGTTCTACTTTGAAGCGTAGAGAAAGTTTTATATGTTGTGCCTTTTTGCGAGTATTTCTTCTATTTTATTAAGTGATAACTGTTCTAGGTACGTAACATGAATTTGATGTTCGATGTTTGTCGCGTAAAAGAAATTGGCAATTTGTGTTACAACACACAAGGCTTCGCCCATAAGAATCTTAACCTCTTATTCGGTTTCTTTTTCGCGTTTAACCTTGATAGGGTATCGCAATGCTACGTATGTGTAATTGAGCTTTTTTTGTTCTTTTTCTTCAGGATTGCAATATGGCAGATTCTGATGATGAATATGATAGAAAAAGGCGGGATAAATTCAGGGGTGAGAGAACTGAGTCATATTCGCGGGAGAGAAGAGAGGATCGCAGACGTGATGACTGGGTTGATAGGTATGTATAGATTATACATGTATGTGTACGTACGTACACATACATTTTGATCTTATTTTACAATTGTTCTTAACATAGTATAGAATCTCTTATTTTTTTATATACTTGTATAACTATATTAAAAAAAACCCATTGTAAGTTTGTTTTTATAATTTTGTTTTTAATTTCTTATAATTTTGTTATATATTATTTATTCTAGTTATACTAATAGTGTAATTCTTATAGGGAGTGGTCCAGTCGTCCTAGACAGCGTCCCGAATATCGAGAATATCGAGGTGGAGGTAGCGGAGGACGTGACCGTTACAGTCCCGCGAGATCTCAGGAAATGGCGCAGCCTTTGAAACGGATGCGTTTCGATTGGGACGACAGACCTAGATACGGACACGATTATTACGGCGGTGGAGGTGGCAGTGGTGGTGGTGGTGCCGGNGGCGGCGGTGGCGGCGGCGGCGGTGGCGGTGCCGGCGCTGGCAATTCTTGGAGTCCCGATCATTACGCACCACCTCATCATAGCAACCATCACTATGGCAACCATAGTAACAGCAACAGGTTTGTTTTTTGTCATTACTCTTTAGTTTATCTCTTTAAACTTTAGTGGAATACGAACGATAAATAATGAAAAGATCGGGATTTATGAAGTTTCTGCCAAAACGGAGTCGTTTGACTCCAAAATTGTTAGCTAAATTAAGGTAATAAGTTGTATTTATTAGGATAAAAGTTTTTTTTTGCGGCAAAAATGCACAGCTATTGTTAAAGAGAAATTTTATTTTTTGTGGAAATTTTTATGTAAACTGGATCATTATCAAACTTTATATCCATGATGTGTATATTATTTTCAGTCGAGAAGTAGCTGGTAATTTCAGTACTTCGAATGTTGAAACTCAACCACCTATGATGTCATTTAAAGCATTCCTTGGTACTCAAGAAGATACTATTACCGATGAAGAAGCCATTAAACGCTACAATGAGTACAAATTGGAATTCAAGAGACAACAGCTTAATGAATTCTTCGTTGCGCACAAAGATGAAGAATGGTATGTTAATTTTTTATTTATATATACATGTACACACGCGCACACACATTATATATGTATATATATACGAAATTAGATTTATCACGTCATATACAGGATTCACGTTTTATCATAATTTTTAATAAGTTATAAAATAGAAGTAATTTTTACAGTGGCTAAAAACTATTCTATTTTTTTGGTAACTGAATAAACCACACAATGTCATTGAGAGCACATGATTAAGAAAAATTAATAATGTGGCCACTGTAATAGAAATTATTATCAAATGCACAGAACTCTGTCCATGCATGTATGTATATAACTACATGCTTGGATAAGATTAAATAATTATTTTATAAATAATTGATGAAAATTGCAGAGATATACGATTATTGTAGCTAATTTCAAACAATATGACCAGCTTTGTCTATCCCTACAGCATATCGCCGCCATCGCCTTATACCTTGGGTCATCTCGCTCGTTTATTTTCTCGATCGATATTTTATGAATTTCGCGTTTCGCGCATCGCTGAAGACATAAGGTGCCTGTTAGGTAGCTAAATAAATTACGAGCTGGGCGCGCAAAGCCCAAACTTGCTCGTGTAGGCCGCGTTCTAAACCCGCTATTTATTTTTATCTTTAAGTACAATAATGTCTTTGTCGATAAATCTCTGAGTCGACCAGAAAACTGAATACGAGTAGAGATATGAGTACAGGTGAGGCTTAATCTTGACAATGTTGATTTTACCGTGTTTTAAGACATTTTTTAAGATGACACACATGCTGATTTTTATAATATATATATATAAATCATACAAACAATTCGCGTGGTTGAAAAAAAATGTTACTTGCAAATTGGAAATTGTTTTGTTTTACCAATAATCCGTTTTTTATTTGGCTACTTCTGTGCTCTTTAACTAAAAGTTTTTTTTAAATATTACACAAGATTTATATAAAAGTTTTTTAATATTACACAAGATTTATAGGTAGAAACATCAATATTATAATTGACAATTATAAAATGTTTATAGATATATATACATGCATGTCACAATGAGAAGTGAAGCAATAGATATTCTGATCTTGTGTTTTTACTTCTACTGTGCATCGAGAAACTATTTTGCAATGGTTCACGTATATCTCATCTATACAGACCGTATATCTCCAATTTTATTTACATTTTTATTCGTATATCGTCTTTAAATTACAGAACTAGACTACATCATTGAATTTATACGTGTGACTCTGTTCAAAACTGGTATAATAATCATTGTACAAAATATCTTTGTAAGTTTTTGTTTACTGATAATTTTTTTATTGATTGCCAGGTTCAAAATAAAATATCATCCTGAAGAATCGGTGAAGAGAAAAGAAGAGCAGGTAGCAGCATTAAAGGTAAATGCAATGCTAAAGAGAGAGTATATAATATATTTGTGTGTGTAAGATAATATATTGTTTATAAAATTTTTTTAACACATGTACATAATTTGACTGAGTGAATTCATGATTTTTTCAGAAACGCGTCGACGTTTTTATGGACTTGCTAGATTCGAAGGCAATAGATAAAGTGTCGATTGATGCCGATCAAGCGGACGCATTGCTGTATCTTTTAGATGCGGTAGTTATCAAGCTGGAAGGAGGGACGGAAGAAGATTTGCAGGTTTTGAGTATTAAACCACCCAAACCTATGATAGCTAAAGATGTTTCCAAGGAAAAAGAAGATAACAAAGCTAAATCTGTGACAGAAAAGAAACCTGAAAACAGGTATTTTTTGTATAATATTAAATTATACAAAATAGGGTTTAACAATAAGATCAATTTTAGTAATGTGCTCATTAAATTTTTTTTTTTTTATATATATATATATATATAGCGCTAGTGACGAAAACAAAATGGATGACGTGCAGACCGAAGAAAAAAATGCCAAAACTGACACTATTCATGTTAAAATCGAGAACGCGGAAAAATTATCAAACAGCAGCAGCAGCAACAGCAGCAGCAGTAGTTCTTCCGGTAGTGACAATAACAAACCGGATACAGCAACAACAGAAACTCGTAAGTACAAAACTAAATTAATATTTTCTCGTGCGATTATCACATTTGTGTGTCACTATATAAATTATGCGAATATATTAGCTGCTACTGTAAAAGTGGAGACCGCTAACGAGAAAGGGGCGGAAGAAAATGCCAATGAAAAAGACGCTAAAGAAGAAAATCAGGAAGACAAAACGGAATCAAAACCTGCCAATAAAACGTCTACTATCGAACCAGAAGCGGTGATTGATTTAGCCAGTGAAGACAAAGACAAAGAACCGAGAGCCTTACATAAAACGAGCAGTATCTTCCTTCGTAATTTAGCTCCGACTATCACCAAAGCAGAGGTCGAAGCGGTTAGTTGCGATATTATTTATTAAATCTAATTCGTTTTTTAATTGTATTTTTTTGCATTATTGTGTAATTTTAATTTAATATTACGTAATTAATCGGATAGATGTGCAAACGGTTTCCTGGATTCTTACGTGTGGCTATAGCAGATCCACAACCAGAAAGACGATGGTTCCGCCGTGGTTGGGTATCTTTCAAGAGACAATCAAATATCAAAGATATTTGTTGGAGTTTGAATAATATTAGAGTACGTGTTGTGTTATGCGTGCTGTTATCATTCAACGATATCAGGAATAAATAATTTTTATTTTCATTTTACTGTTATTATTTACACAGCTTCGTGATTGCGAGCTCGGTGCGATAGTGAACAGAGATCTGTCGCGACGAATTCGATCGGTAAATGGCTTGACATCTCACAAACAAATAGTTCGGCACGACATCAAGCTCAGTGCTAAAATTGTTCACAATTTGGACAATAGAGTAGGGTTGTGGAAAGAGGAGAAGAAGGATGAGAGTGCAGGAAAACAGGAAGAAAATAAGGAGAACAAAACCGATCAAAGTACCATTGAGATTGAGCAATCTGTGAGTAAAAAAGTTTTGTCTGAATAAAAAAAAGTATTTTTATGGTTTTTTTTTACGATTTGTGCACGAATCCAATTCTTGTGCTATTATTTAGGCTTTTGGATTGTCATCTAAAAATCCAGTATTGAAGAACATAACAGATTATCTGATAGAGGAAGCTTCAGCCGAGGAGGAAGAATTACTAGGTATGTCGGGAGAACAAGAAGAAGGTCAATTGGGTGACGGAGACAGTTCGATCGAGAGGGATCCAATTTTGATCAAGGTAAACCAAACGCATAACTCACCTGAAGTTATTAATTAATCTGATTATGATTATAGAAAATTCAATAAATTTATGTTTCAATAAACATATTTTTTTGTGCGTTTCAGGTATTGGATAGACTATTGCTGTACTTGAGAATCGTTCATTCGGTCGATTACTACAATCATTGCGAATATCCGAACGAAGATGAGATGCCAAATAGATGTGGAATAATGCACGTGAGAGGACCGGCGCCCAGCAGCAAGATTTCCAGTGCGGAATTATCGGAATATTGTCGTAATTTCGAGAGCAAAATGTCTGCTTTTCTACAACCGATAGCCACCTTATCGGTCGAAGAATTCGAGAAACTGGGCGCTAAAAATGCCGAAGCGTATCCTTTTTTTAAATGTTTTTAAACGCGTTCATGTACAATGTGCAAAATAATTGATAAATGTTTATTATACGTATTGTGTATTTCCTTAATACGCACATATAAACAGTGAAGTCGAGAAATTCGTTCAAGCCAACACCCAAGAATTGTCAAAAGACAAATGGCTATGTCCTCTTAGCGGGAAGAAATTCAAAGGACCCGATTTTATTCGCAAACATATTTTCAACAAGCATTCTGAAAAAGTTGCTGAAGTAAAAGCGGAAGCTGAATATTTCAACAACTATCTGAAGGATCCGAAAAGACCTCAGCTTCCTGAACATCCTGGTAACAAGGTCCCACTAAGAGAGCCACGCGATACTTTCTCTTCATATCCGAACTCGTAAGTACAAAAGTTAAGAACGAACGTTATTTTACTAATATGTGAAATTATATTGTAATAATTTTAAAGAGCAAGTTTTTTTGTTTTCTTCCGTTTGTGTGATTTAAAACTTTAATCGGCCAATTTTGACTAACGTATAATGAGGGCAACGTCGTTAAGATACATTGCAAATTTGCAATTGTTTTTAGATTTGCCAATTACGGCGGTGGATATGGCGGCAACCGTGGCGGTTATGGTTCCGGCTACGGCGGGGGATTTGGTGGCGGATTTGGGGCACCGCGATCTAATCGTGGCGGATTTGCTCGAGGACGGTAAGACAATCCTTTTTTTTATGTTCCGATGCGGAATAATAATCAAATGTGTTTGTTCAGATAATCATAAAGAGGACTTGCACAGGTGTACACTCAATTATGTGTTACGCACACTAAAATTATAACAAAAATTTTGATAAATTTTCTTAAATTGCGCCACATATTCTTGGCCCTTTCGAATCAATAGACTGAAACGTAGTGACAAAATGTTTTAGGCTCGCCCCGGATACTGACTCAAGACCTATTATTACTTATAATGACTTGGACCATCTAGACATGGACATGTTCTAAGTTTAGTTAAAATCTACGCAAATAATTTGCAGTTAGAATCAATAAGATCGCTCGTTCTATATTACAGGTTCTATTAGAACAATTCCGATATCGGAAACACACTTAAAAGAAAGGAATGTCGTTGCTCAAAACACGATATTTTATACTTTATTTATTTTTTATACTTATTTAAAAACCACACGTATCCGTACAGTACAACTTCCAATTATTTGGATATGCGACTATCTGAGATCGAGTTCCATCCGAAAACTCAGATTTATAGTATTCGAAGATATTCGGATAATTTTTTTTGAAAACTTTTATCAACAGTATAAATTATTTCAAATCTGAATTTAAAAAAAATTCGTCATAACATCAGATTTGAACAAATCTTTAGTCTTATCGTATATATACTTTTCTATTGAAACGATTAAGTGTTCTAATAGCTTAATTAAATTTTTTACAAAATTAAAAATAAAAAATTTGAACGTCGATTTTACATTCTAAGTCTAAATCTCAATCGGGGGTTGTAAATTTTATGACATTTTATCAAATAAACACGTATTTGCATATTATTCGAACGATGTTATTTTATTTTATCCCAATTCCATTTAAATCCTATGTCCGGTTGGTCGTATGTCATACAAATTTTGAAGATGTCAAACGAAAATTCTGTATATAATAGAAAACAAATATGATAAGTGTAAAATACTATCTTCTTTTACTATATTCTTACTTATGCTAATAAATATTTGCAGTGGCGGTAGCGATTTCCGACCCATCATACATTATCGAGACCTTGATGCGCCGCGAGAACCGGATGAATTCCTATAAGATGATCACGTTAAGAGGTATTATTACTACTTGACACAAAGATATATAGATGTAATATGTTTAGAGAATCACACTTGAAGCTTCTTCAACGTTACATTTTTTTATATATAACAGTATTCATAAATGTATGAATATAGCATACTTGTGTCCATATATTTAAATAATAAACTTTTGGCCAAATAGTACATTTATTACAATATTGGAGTAAATATATTATAATATTATTGGAATAAATTCTATTGATTTTTTCACAACTTTTGATAAAAGTTTATTTTCCAAGAGAAGATAGATTTTGAGTATAAACTCTCTTTCAAGTTTATACATATAAAGGAACAAATTAAAAAGATGATTGGTGCTTCGAGACTATAAAATTGAGTAAAATTGTTTGACATACAGAATTTATGAAATTACATACCGAGCAAACAAAAAACAAAAGGCAAATAATAAAATCCAATTTGAAGGAATGTACAATGTGCGTGTGAAGCGTGTGAAACCTTGCGTTACATATATAAATATATATGTATGTACTTCATAAGTATATCGACATTTTACAAAAAACTTTATTTTAACGTGAAAAGACGTTAGCAAAAATTGAAAATCGCTTAATACTTTTCTTATGAGATTGTAAGAAAAGAAGTACAAAATTGCTTTATATAATTTTGATATACTTTATAATTTGTAGGATAGAAACTACATTATAATAAACTATATAGTGGGACACACACACAATAAAAGGATTACAAATGCTACATTGTGTATGTTACTTTTTTTACCATAAAAAAAAAATGAAGGAAGAAAGATAAGAAAAAAACAAATTTTTTTTTAACACTTAGGTAATCTAAGTTCAGTATTGTCATGTTTTACATATACGTATATATATATACGTATTTATACAACAACGCTATGTACACATTACATACAATTACAAGTATATAAAATACTGACATTTGATTTTTTTTTTTTTTTTCACATTTTCGTGATCGTCGGCAATGTCTTCTCTTATAAATAAAATATTAAAATCGATATTTACAATATGTTTCGTCCGAGCCATCCCCGCAGTCGTCGATTTTATTGCATTTTACTCGTTTCGAAATACATCTACCGTTTCTGAAAAAAAGAGTGCGAAACATATTTTTAATTATATACACGATGAAAGCTTGAAACGCGAAAGATCAGAAGTTTACAAAAAGAATATTATATTCATTGTGCCACGTCTTTCGGTTTTTAATTGCAACTAGTTTGAACTAAAAATACAGAAAAAAAAAACTATTTGTATATCTCTCTTATTTATTTATTTTTTTGCTTACTGGCATTTAAATTCATGTTTGCTGCATCGTCCGTTGCATCCTTGAGGTTCGTCCGATCCGTCGTTGCAGTCTGCTAGCGCGTCGCAGAAGCGTTCTTTTAATATACACTCTCCATTACCGCAAGTAAATTGATTTTCCAACGGGCAGGCTAAAACGGAGATGCGCAAATGTAAAAAAAGTCAAACCCCTGTGTGGTTCAATTGTTTAGTTATTTTTTTCTTCTAAAAACAAATTTTATAATTTTTGTACAAGCTTCTGAAATTTGCGAAACATGCTACACAAACTTTCTGCTATCTGTCTGACATCTCGCATAGAAGTGTAAAAAAAAAAAAAAAAATGTGTGTGTGTGATATCAGCATGCGCGACAGACGTGCATAGTTTTGTGTAAAATACGTGCACGTGTCTCACAAAAATAAATAGATATATATGTACTTACACCGACCGAGACGACCTACAAAAGAAAACAAAGAAAAAATATGAAAAGCAATAATCGAGATATTCTGCTCTACGGATAATAGTAATGCGTGTGGTGTGTTCTATTCTACATATTTCAGTCAGAAAAACTGAAAGAGATTTTTCTACGTTTCATACAATCAAACAAATTTTCGATCTCAAATATACTTTCAATATACATAATCGAAGCCTGCTTGCGCCGACACAAACCGCTGACACACACACTCACCTATCGTGCAATTAATCTCGTCGGACGCGTCCCAACAGTCGACCTTTCCGTTGCATCTCAGATTCAGCGGCAGGCAGGAAGTCTCGTTACCGCACCGAAAGTGTGTTTCGAGATTGCAGGCTTGAAAAAGAAAAAACACGTACAGCTGTGTGTCACATTTTCTGCTTGCTACTTTGTTTACATAATTCGCGCTTCGAACGCGAACATTAATTATAGCGAGCAAGCAATTGTTTGATTGATTACGTGTGAAGTTCGATATGTTACATTGCGCACGCGGAACGTATGATCGATGCAAAATATCGAAACACCTGTAACAACCTCTTCTCCCTTTCTCTCTCGAAGCCTCGCAAATAATAGCAAAGCAGAAAAGCCGATATAACAGAAAGTTATAGGTCATTTCGAACTGGGGCAGCGTGTTTTACAACGAGAGAGAGACGAGAGTCACAAGCGGATAAACGCAATCGGCTTATGACACCCTACATATTTCAAAACTACAAATAAAAAAAGAATGATCGTTTCTCTCTTTTTCTCTTTTATCTCTCTTTTTAGATTATTAGACGAAATATATTAATTTCGCACAATAGTAGAAAATACGTCGCGATTTGATGTGATCTCGTTATTTCTTGTTATACACCTACCGCAATTGTATTCGTCCGAACGATCGTGACAATTCATCTTCCCGTCGCAACGGTACTCCAAGGGCAGGCACATTGAATTGGTACAGGTCCATTCGTTGTCTTGGCAGTGATTGATCTCGACGCATCTTTAATATAAAATATATATTATTTAGAACAAATTAATTTATATCATCAGAAACTTTAACTCGTCTAATATTTACGACAGATCAATCACAAGTAAATATCAACGAACTTGAAAGCATCCACGTCGAGGCGATGGCACTTCTGTTTATTGATGACGCACAAACCACCACATCCGGTAGGATCTCGGGAGTCGCGGGTGTTTCTGCATATCGGTACTTCCTCGTCGACGAGAGCAACGCACACCTCGCCCCCGAGGCAATCGTCGCAATATCGCGTCGCATTAACTACCTTCTGACTCGCAGCTTCCGTTTCCGCACCTGTCGTCGGTGAAGCGCTGCTTGCCGGAAATGACGGCTCGTGCACAAGGGCGCTCACGACGAACACGTCCGCGCTTACGGTTGTCATCGTCGTCGTCGACAACGTTGTTTCGATCATCGGATTCGGCTTCTCGTTCACGGTTATCACCGGGGGGATTGTGATCGGCTCGCCGGATGTAATGTTCTGCCTCGTCGATCTGCTCGACGACGACGACGACGACTTCAGGTACTGCTGGATGATTTGAAGTTTTTCCGGTTCTGTAAAAAACCGTGACGCGCGCGATCGATTATTGCACAGTTTGAAAAATCTCTCGTCAAACCGGGTTCCTACCGAGACGGAAATACGAAACTATAAATACGTATAAAGTATCGATCGCGCATCGCGAGCTGAAGTCAATGAAAAAATATTTTCTTTTTCTATCGTTTCGTGTAAAAATGTGAGCAAAGCATATGGTAATTCGTTAAGATTGTCGAGTTTATTTAAATTTTTTTCAGAAACAAAGCAACTTTCGCTTTTTTGTATCGTGTGACTCTCTGTAAGAGTTGAAGAAACGATTCGGGGAAAGACTCTTTTCAGGATTCCAGACGAAACGTTCAAGAAACGCAGACACGGTCATTGGCTTTTGCCACTTTTCATCACGACGCGACATTTTATGTGCCATGTGACCGGCTCGATCGACCGTGCAGAAACGCGACCGAAGGAAACGTTCTGTTGACCCCGCGGTTAAATTCATCTCGTCCGAGGCAATTGCTACGCTTCGTCGGAATTAAACCTCAGAGTCTTTCTCGCCATCGAGAGAGCCTCGGTTGAAAATTCAGTCTCGAGCTTGGACGCGAATTTTACTTTGTAAATTCACGATAAGGCGGTATATAAGCAAGTGCATCGTTTACTCCTGGCCGATATAGGGTGTCCTGGCACGCAATCCTTGATTGCGGCAAGGGTTCGCAAGATAAGGGCGAATTCGATTCTCGCTTGAGAAAATTATTAGAAAAACAATTGCACAAAGTTTCTTCCGACTGTTGTTGTTTTATAACGAAAAGTACATGCAAGAACCAAAATGAAAAAGATCATTTCGTTTGCGATAAAAAATTTTCTCACTGTAAAAAAAAAATCAATAATTTTGTCTCATAATATATCCGTGGCTCAATTTGATATATTTTAGATGGGTGGAAGATGAGTCAAAATACACACAACCGCGCGAGCGCATGAATGAATTTAAGTATAAACTCCTAAATCAATCAACATTGAGATCGCGCGATTAATCCATCTGGACTGAAGACTGATATTTCACGTGGCAAATAATTGCGCCGCGTATTATCTAGTGAACTCATTTCTAAAGTTCCATTTAGACGTGTCAGTCAAGCTGCTGTTCACGTGATATAAAAGAAAGATTACAACGAATGTCTCTCTTTTTTTTCTTCTCAAAAGAAGGTGTGAAGTTAACAAAGAAGAAAGAATTGGGATTAAAAAAAAATCTCTAAAACCAAATCGAATCAAAAAAATCAAAATTTACCAAAAACGATATATAACGCGACACCAGCGACTCCCAACAGGATCAACACGACGACCAGCAGAGGTATGAGCGAGCTGGAGCATCCTGATGCCTTCAAGGGACGAGCCAGGTGTAACGTCCACCCGCGACGATGTTTGTCCAAACGCGCCGGATGTGGTGGCGGATCGTTTCTGGCGCTACGACGTAGATTAACGCGGTTCTGCGAGGTCGGAGTGTGCGTTCGCACCGGCAGGGAATAGGCTCTCTGAAAAAAAAAAGATTGAAAAAACTACTTTTTTTCAATCCCTAAATAATTCAAGAATATTCAAAAACTTAATTGCGCGCAATTAAACCTACTTATCTCTTATTTATAAAAAATAAATAAATATACTAGATCGAGAGAGAAAGCCGAACTTTCTCTTCAGTTTTTCGCGCATTTTTACGTGCATTTACTTAGAATACAACATTAGTCGTAAAAAGACTAACGGCTCGGATGTGACGTAACAGTGACGAAAATTTTCGAGAGACCGTGGATTTATTGTAAATCGCGTCTCGTTGTAATTTTTGCTAACTGTCCGACGCGTCGCTCACCGAACGCCGTCGCGTTTACACGCGGGTATCTATAGATAGACGTCGTTTTCCGACTTCCGTTCCGTTTTGTTTCTTTACGCCGACACCAGGCCAGACACGGCGGCGGTTTCTTCTTTTTTCTCTCGCTCCTGTCAGCTCCGACGGAAGAACCGAAGAAGTCGCGGACGACCGGGCGGCGGTGTGTAAGTCGTTTCTGCGAGAATTCGTTCAACAACGGCGCCGACGTACGCGCAACCAAGATTGAAGACGCTGCTTGTTATAATTTCTCTGCTTCGTCTGTTTTTTTGTTTTTTTCGCTCTATTTATCGCTCACTCTTTAATCATTTTGGTACTTTATTTGCCGCTCGCTTGCCGCCCAGGATGTCTAAATTTAAATATATCTCACAACAAGTCTCTCTTCGACGCACAAAAACCGGCCCCCGTGCGATACGGATATCCGGTGAATATATATATTTTTGGATAATTTCTCTATTAGTTCTTATGACGCACGCCGACGAAAAAAAAAATGTTTCTTATATATAAAATCTTTTTTCCGGCAAGTTTTGTCATTTTTTATTGCGAAATTTTTTTCCACATCGCCAGAGAATTTTCTGTTTTTATTTATATAGTTTTAGTGACATCTTGAATTACAGCGGACTTCTTACGATTTCCTTAGCGCTGTTGTTGAAGACGTGGGGAACGGCAGTTCTCACAAGTCTAAATTATCTACACATAAATTAAGAGATCTTCAAAGTGAAGTCACACCTGCGCATCTATATTTATCAACGTTCAAGTATAAATAAAATTCTAATGTCATGTCGTCGCGCGTACGTATTTTTTTTTTTTATAAGTAAGAAAGAAAATCGCTCTTTAATCTTTTTTCTCAAAAGTTTGAGAAAAGCTTCAAACGTAATAATATTCACACTTTTTAACGCGTTTACTTTAAAACCGTGTTCTGGCACGAAAAAAAAAGGCAAATAAGAGAAACGTTCGTGTGTTATTAACAAGAGACTTAAAAGTTCAAAGGTTGTGTTCGTGAAAAATCAAATAAAACGGACTTTAAACCTCATTTAGGTTGATTTAACTTTCAATCGTTGCTAATCAAGAAACACATTGGCGGCACGCGCGGCAAGAAAGGAATTGTCACGTTATGTAGACTCTGCGGGACGTCGTCAAAGATGCCAATCGATCCCCGCTTTTTCAGTCACGAAGTCTTTTAAAAAAGACGTTCTCTCTCTCTTTCTTTCTTTCTCCTCTCTTCGCGCTCGTTCGTGCGTACGCATTCGGCACGAGCGGCCGTGCACGTGCTGCAAAGCGGTGACGCAATACACGTTTCCATTCACTTAAACGCGGGGCTTTATGTTTGTGGCTATGCGTGTGTATGTATATTTGCCAAACGCTATTATGTTCTTTCTCGCACAATGAAGAAATTGATGACGGGATCGAAAAATATAATTATACTCATCATCTCTGATTCTTAAGCTCAAAAACTTTGCGTTTAAAAATTTGTTTCTCACGATTGACGACTTTTAAACAAAAACTGTTACACATAAAATATGTACGTGTGTAATGTTACAACATATACATATATTTATATGTATAATATACTCGTGTAGAAAAAGTTTTGTTGGCTGTGATTATTATTCCGATATTTTCTTCGGTATTAAAAAATCAATAGTTTCACGCCAGAAAACGTGGCATGTGAAGAACCATCGGAACATCACACCAGCTTTTCTTCTGTGCCTGTAAGGGAAGAAATTTTACGTTTCGGTTAAATTCTACGGGATAGCGCGAACGCAGTCCCGACTACCAAAAATTTTATGCCCGAGATACCCACTTTAGGGGTATTCGCAGGGGTCAGCTCAACCGTAGTGCAATGGAAGAGCCTCACCCTGGAGGAACCGCCTTCTTGATCACGGTAGCCTCTGCACCAGGTAAGTATGCTTTCCCGGCCACGGGATACCCTCATATAGCTCACGTGCAACTTTTCATCTATGAGAAACCAAATCCAGTGTGGAAATACGCCACGTAGCGGCCAAACGATTAACTAAGCATTCTGGTAGCAGTTAAATCGAAACTAATCCGACAGTGGTTCTTCGTTTACATCATTTTCTGAACTCGTAGCAAGCGCGAGTATTTTTGTTAACGCACTACAATTGCTAACAAATGTTACTTTAAATTAAAAGCGCGTGATTCATTTCCCCATATATTATATAAATAAATATATTATATATTTATTTATATAATATATTTAGTATATTATATAAATTTCTTCTTTTCTAATAAACAACATTCGTGTGGATCTCATTACAATTACACACTGTTTTGAAAGTTTTATGTACACTCGTGATTCAAATCGCGACCTTCCGGTGTACATTTTCAAAATAAAATTACTTTGTGTAATTTACACTTGATGGTATTATTTGTACGCACGTTATATTATATGTATTCTTATTTAAAATAAGATTTAATTAAAAATATTTTTCCACACAATAAATAAATAAATATATTTAAAAATATATACGTGTATATATTTTAAATAAATTTTTTTCTAAAAATAAGATTGTTTTTAAATTTGTACATAAATTTAAAAAAAGAAGAAGAAATTGTATATAAATTTGAGAAAGGAAAATATCTAAATTCAAAAAAAAAACTCTGTGCTCGCACACCTGCAAGCGTAACTTACCTGAAAAGGATTCTGATCTTTGATGTCAGTGTAAAATATGGGCAAATCCTTGGCGTGGCAGCGATCCTGCGAGTAAATCGAATTGATCCTCATGTCGGTCCCCAGCAACTTGTTCCGATTATTTTCCGCGTTCATCAGAAAATCGTTTTCCGTCGAGCGCGGTCCGGAATTTGTTTCGGTCACGAAAAACGCGTTCGAGGAACTTTTGGCACTGATTTCACGAAGACTCATCCTGTCCGTCATCGGATAAACCTTTATGCTCTGGGGTTTCAGAAGCGATTCCCGTAACAAAAATCCGGACGAATCTTTTTCCCGATGATTGTTCTCGTTATCCCTCAGGATCGCGTCTTTGCTCGACTCGTCGAGCTTTTCGCAGGAACTCGCATCGGTCAATTTGTTTCTGCAATGCTTGCAATCCTTCTTCCTGCGTCTGCGTTTGCGATCTGATTGCATCAATGTATTGTCACGTAATAAATCTTCATTTTTCTGAGATGACACACCCTCCGTCGAAACGTTTTCGGGAAGAGACGTCGCAGGATGATCGCAGGACTTCCCGCAAGAATTCTCGGAATTCTCATTCTCGTTCGTTCTGAACTCCGTTTGCGACGTGGAGTTCGCGCTTTCGCGATTCGTGCTGATCGTGGGAGATGACAACTCCGTCGAACTCCGTTGATACGATTTGTCATTTGACGATTCGTTGATCCAGTCTTGTCTGGCGGACTCAGCTGATCGGCGATCATTGTTGTTGTTGCGAGACTCATCGAGAAAGGATATCCGCTCGGAGGAGTCAGGAATGTTCGTCGTCGTATCGGTGGAAATGTCCTCGTACACATGACCCTCGGGATGCGTCGAGTTTCTTGCAAGGTCGGAATCGCTGTCTTTCACGCGTGAATGATCCTTCTCGTAACCTTGGTTCTCCATCTGAAACTAAAAAAAAAAAAACAAAGACAATATATAAGAATATAAATATTATAACATTAAATTTGTGGCGTGACCATTACGACACAATTTCACATCTTGTCATTAAAAAAACGAATTGCTTTTAAGTAAAAAAAAAGAAAAAAAACACTTTTAAAATAGCTGCTCTCTGCGTTTCCTCATCTCTCTTGTTTCCACATCAAAATTAATTCCCGAATCGTAAACGCAAAAAAATAACTGCTATATTGACCTTCATTGCGTATCTCGTTATGCGTATGTCCTTTTTATATAAATACGTCCACGCGCAGAGTTCATTATCTTGGAAAATATGTCCACGTGTAACCCGGCTGAGTGCGCCTCACAAAAGCAAAGGGAAGAAAATGAAACGAGGAAAGCGAGGGAAAATGCAGGTGGAGAGGAAACGGGTTTTTTTCGGACCTAGATCCTACCTGGCGCGACGATCGTAGACCGGATCTACCAACGTCTTTTCTGTCGCATTATAATGGTCGATCTGCCGAATTGTTGAACACGTTCTACGCTCGTGATCATTGCGAGTGTGCTCAGTATAAGCTTACCCTATATAAGAAGAAGATAAAATAAATCGAGCTTGTTAGGAAACATCCACACGATTGTCGCAATTATCGCGACTTGACTCTCCGATTGATCCCTGCTGGGCGTGTGACGTCATTTGGACCGCGCGCCTTTAAAGGATATGTCGTGTTTATTCTTCATTCATGATACGCGTCTGGTGATACACGCTTAGATTATTTCCTCACACAATCTCCGCATTTAATAAACTTCTTTCTTCGAAGAAAAAAATAGAGCAAATTTAATCCTTCATTCACCCGCTACATTGTGTGTTTCGCATCTTTACAATCTCGGTAAAAAATACACGCGCGTACATATTTGACGGCATAAAATTCTTTTGAATTTTATATTTCGACGTCATAATTGTATAAAAAAATATCGCATATTTATTCTCTGCTAAATACTCGACGAAAAAACTAAATTTCATTTATTGTTAGTCTCTTTCGCGGGTTATTGCGATGTCGAATTTTTTACGTCGCTCAATTTTGATTTTCGATGCGACCTTAATGCATCCGTGAAACGTTTCACGTCCGCATTTCAATGACGGAGCAACCGGCTGCGAAGGATGCGTTCGCGAGGTCGATACGCGCGGACCCGGCTCGCATAGAGAGCTCATTCATTAATAAATACAATTAGCGCGTCGCCGGCGAAATGCCTCGACGGGCAATCGCCCGCAATTCGTCGGTATTCGTCGCGTTAGACATTAAATTTGATTATATTAAAAATTTTAATTTTTTAGTGCAAAAAATGTTCGACGACAATCACATTCTGCATTTCGTATATTCTTGCAGTCATTTTTTCGAATGCACATTCAACACATATAGATAGATAATAACCAGAGAAAAAAAAACTAAGAGAAGAACAAAGTGCCTTTTGATCCGGACGGCGTTAAGAAATCAATCGCGGCGATGATTTGATTAAATTCAATGCTGATTCAGCAACGATTGCGCGCGATGACGCGCCGGAGAAACGGAATTGCGACAACCGTGTTTTATCTACCGTACATGATACCGCAACGTATATTGTATACATTGTATTCGTATAAGGAGAGTATTCGTCATTGTCGAGTGACGCCAGAGAACATTTTAATAAGCGACGTACAGGTACACGTACATACATTATTCATACGTCGATGTAACCGCAGGCTACAAAAATCTCGTGCGAATATTTCTCATTTTTTCAACGACAAAATGTCTCCGACCGCAACTTCCGATAGATATCAAAAATACGAATAGCCATTGTTTCATACTCTCTTCTGTTTCCGTTTTAAAGAAATGATAAAACTATAATTTTCTTCCCAAAGAAAATATTCTGACATGTTAAAACAAGTCTAATACAATTACGCAATATTGTAACTACGTACGTTTTACGCACACAAGTTATCAAGTTGGGAACAGATTTGTTCGCTTTTTTTTTTACGCATAAATTTTTTTTACACACACGTTTACACTCTTATAGCTCATAATTGACGTGGGATAAATTCAAACGCACAGACGTGCGCGATATGTACGCGCGCACACATCACGTCAGAGAAAGAGACAAGACTAATTTTAAAGTCTGCGGGCAAGCCTGGTTACATATCGCATATTTCGGTCACATCAAAGTACCGACATGTTTTTTACACTGATATAAAATGCTAACTTGTTATTTGTTTTCTTTCTCATTTAAACACACAGACATTTCTACATATTTTAATTTTATACTCAACTATTCATACATAATACAATATACTTTTTGCAAAATAGTTCGCTTAAAGAAATAAAGACAAAAAACAAACAACTTTAGTTCGACATGTTGAGACTTAATTTTTTTTAATTTTTAGCTACTTTTTTTGTTGACCAAGTATGTTGTTTATAATGCCGTATGATTACGCGTCAATAATGTATATATGATAAAAAAAAAGAACAAGTCTTGTTCCACGTTAGGCTTATAACGTATGCAGAAAACACGTCTTATTATTGCATTTGTGAAACCGCGCACGTGAGGATGATCTCTCTGCTTCTTACTTACTATGTAAGAAAGAGAACCGAGGGACGCGAAAACCCTTTCTTTTTTCTTCTCTGCGTTTCCGACGATACACATTCAATAAGCTATCATTAAAGTCATTATATTCGATTGCGGTTGTTTCCCCTGTGTCGGACGTACTTTTCATAAGCCGACCTCTTCCTCCTCAAATTTTTTTCACATGAAAAACTCACATCCATCACGCATTAGTTAAAATGTTTGTGTTCCCGACACAAAATTACTGCGAGAGAGATCGTTTTCAAATTTGTGAGTTTTTTTTTTTTTTTTAACACGGAGTACGACACAAGAATCTGTACAAAATCTTACAATAAAAAAAATCGATTGAATTAAAATAATTAAATAATTCGCGCGCGACACCCTCGAGAGAAAAATTCGAATAAACGCGGATGCGCGGTGTTTTTATATTTATACACACCAGTGAAATATTCACAGAGCGTAGCGAAGGACGAAGGACGAACCGTCGTCGGAAGCAGGGGGTTATTCTCCTCTCTGTGTTCGCATTCTCTTCTAATAGCGACTCCGGAAGCCACCGCGAGCTCACTTATAGCTATGAAAAACGCATTACTCGCGAGTAACGATAATTATGATGTATCAACCGGCTAATTACCTTCCGTACTTCTTCAACGAAAATAAATGTACAAGATGTTTCAGCCCTACAAAATCGTGAAGCTGAAGTCTCGAGAATAAATTAATTCTTTACTCCGAGAAGCGTGTAATATTCTAAGAGAGAACGAAATATTGTATTTTCTCTAATTGTGTTAAGAAATTAACACAATTAAACAAAAAAGAGACCATCTAATAAAAAACATCTCTACAATTATGTATTAAAAAAAAAAAAACATAGGAACGTGCGGTAAAAAAAAAAAAAAAAAAAACTATGTGGAAGAACTTCAGAGCGGATTGGTAGTTTATGAAAGTCCATTAGAGTAACCAGGGACGTTGCGTTATAATTTAGAAGCTGTAATGAGCGATATTATCAATAAACCCCCCCGAACACAACGGCAAGACTGTGGCGTCGCAGGCGCCGATCAGTCGGCTCTCCGCGCGTACCGGCTCTAATGCTTAATTACTTCTCATATATGCTTGTAAGGATGCCGTCTCTTCTTACGCCAAGTGGTGTCCAATTTATCTCACAGAACGAGTTAAACGACTCGCCGAAGAAACGCTTCTGCCAACGCGCCCCGACGACGAGAAGCCTATACACGTCTCTAAACTCGTCGGGTTTTTTTCTTTCTCAGATCGACGATCATCGTGGTAGTGTCAGTTTTACTTTCCGATCGATCGAGTCTCACGAGAACAACATCCAGCGCGATCGAACCGCGATCAGAAGCGTGAGAGAAAAGAAAAAACTTCAGACTTGTATATTTATTAATGAGACAAGTTTTTTTTTTTTTTTTCTAGAGAAAATTTAAGTATGAAATTTCTCACGTAAGTCGAAATTTTTATCTTAAACGTTCGTCGTAATTAGATCGATCAACTGTTAATTAAAGTCCAGTCATTGCACGAGTATACACGTGCCACATCACGTTTGAGTGATAGAAGACTTCGCGCGTGGCGCGAGTGAGTTGCGGCGAGGGTTCGTTTTTTTTTTTTTTTGTTCTTGTCGGATTTTGAGGCAAGTGTGTGTACTCGTAAAAATAATCGCGGGACCAGCACGTAACGACGTGACATAAGCGTCGAATGCAACAAGACAATCCAAGGGACGGGAACAAAATATATATTTGTTTACGTAATCAAAAAAATCACATAATTTTATACCACCTAAAACGTCAATGTTTAAAAAAATTTTGTTTGATAAATTAAATAATCGCGGCTACGTTTCGTTTCGAAGTGGAATTTAAAGTAGACGAAAAAAAAAAAACGTTTTTATAGTTTCTCGCAAAAAATTCTGCCGGCGTCCATGTTGCACGTGAACCCGATTATTTGGCCGCACGTGTCGCGCCATATGCGACCTGCACGTGTTTTCAACCCGTAGCTGTACGTAGAGGCGCATTACGCACCGATCGCGTCGTTAATATAAGTTGCATCGAGTATATACACGTAAGACAACACGCGACCGCCGCCTCTCGTTCCAACGAAACTTTGTCAACGTTGAACACCCAACGAAATCGAACGCGCATACAAAAAACGTTTGGACATTATTTGCCGAGAAGAACGCAAGCAAGTTGCACGTACAAATTGTACGTATAATTCCCAATAGTCTCTGCAATAGTTCTGCAGTTAAATAACACGAAGAGAGAGGAAGAGAAAGAGAGAAAAACTGTTAGAGACGTGCCCGGCGAACAAATTCGCGTCCGTCCGTGTCGAGCGGAACTCGGCTCGATCGCTCTTCGCAAACAAGCGAGCAAAAAGTGAGTCACATCCTTCGGAATTATTGCGCGACCCGCAACATATTT